CTAGTGTAAGCACTGCTTAGCAACAACTGAAACATCGGTGTGTTATCAACATTGTTCTCATCCTAAATCCAAAACACAGCACTGTACCAGCTACTAGGAAGGAAATTAACTCTATCCTGGCCGAAACCAGGACAAAGTGTCAGAGGTTGATCAAAGTTTTCAGCAGGGTTATTTTCCTGTGCCTTGTTTTCACCACAGAGTTTGTACAAATCTTTGCACAGTCGATAACGCTGCTGCGGTTTTGCCAAGGTTGGTGGCATCAGGCACTCCAGTGCAGCTCAAGTTCATCAGTGTTTGACCCCGCTAAGTGGAGAGCAGTGAGATACTAGCCAGCAAAATGTTCAAGCACACAGTTAATTTTAAGCACAAGAGTAGTCCCACTGAAGTGTTTGTTAGTAATCGAGGGGCGTGCTAGTGGTGTTTAAAGTTAAGCAGACCCTGAGCAGCCTTGCTGAACTGCAGTCAGCATGCTCCTCTGCATCATCTCCAGCAGATGGGCCCTACTCATGTGCATCAAGCTCACTAAGTGCATGCACAGCTGAAGCATTGAGTTAATTGGTTTTATCTTTGATGAATTGTGCTCAATCTTCAAACATAAAGTAACTAATTCAAAATGATTGTATTATTACTGCCATCAGTTCAGATCCTCCCTACCCTGGCACTTATTTTCAGCCTCAGAAAAAGCGTTTCAGTAGTTTTCAAAGGAGGTTTTAAAGAAATGAATGTGGATAGGCTATTTAAAATTGCTGCACCCAGAAACTGGGTGTAGTAAAACTCCTTTAAATTATATAGCACTAAAGCAATCCAGGTTGTAAACAAACTGAAAGTTCTCCAGGTGAAATGGGCAATTAGAGAGTGGCTATAATTGCTCAGATAGAAAGCTGAAACCATGATTTGCCTAAAAGATAAGCTCTAATTCATATGAGAATCAGCCAGGGAAGACATCATAATTAAATTAGACAGGAGGTGAGACTAGTTGATGGCAACAATATGTTTTGGCTTGATGGTCTGTGAACTTTGTGAACTGACCACTTATATGAGCCTAGAAATGTATCTGAGCGCGCAGTGACTCTCAAAATGGTGGGCCTAATTTGTGAGTGAAAATATTCTCATCGATATTGGTGGGAGTTATTGATGCATAACACAGCCATTTAACCACACACTAATCACATGGCAGACAAGTGACATGAATATGCAATTATACAGTCTTAAAAAATGTCTCATCAACTAATTAAACAATGAAGGTGATCAATATTTCGGTTTTATACCCCACTGAAAACACTGGCAGCCCCAGACACCAGAAAGTGCCTTTCATGCTATGCTACTTCAGCAAGCAATCTGTCGTCTCTACAGTGTTGCTTCCCGAAGCACTGGGATTTGCCCGGCGGTTTGGGGTATCTGTGGAGTGGCTTAGCTACATTCACCCACTTTCACTTACACAGCATGGTATCACATCGCCAGGCTGCAGCAAAGTAAATTTAATGATAAGCAGCAATCTAGGACTTATCCTTAACATTTGACAAATCTGTGGTTTTTTGATCAGCTTGTTATTTTTATACAGCTATGCAAATGTACTCTCCTGCTACCTTAGCTCATCCTGTCCTCTGTTTTGCATGAAAAAAAGCAAAATATTTTTCTTTTACAAAGAACAGAGTTATCAGCTGGTGCCTGTTGACAGAAGCACAGCTTAATATCGAAGGAAGCATTTGTTTGCCTTGAATTTGCCATTAGATACACATAGTTTCTTCATCTGCTAACATGAATACATTTAAAATTTATTTGGACACAAAAATACCTAAGCAGCCTAACGCGTTCAGACTCAAAACAACTTGCAGGCCTTTGATGGTGAGCAGAAGTGACTTCCTGATAAAAACACAGAATTACTAAATACAGTAGGATTTCCAAAGCGGTTTGCCTCAGCAGAGCTCTGCTATGGTATTAATGTTGCAGTAACACCACTGGAAGAATTTAAACAATATTTCCATTATTGCTACAGGTCTGTGTGCTCTGCGTCCTGAGGGACTTGACATTTAATTCTGCTTGCTGAGAAGACTGAATGCGTTACAGCAACTCCTGTGGTAGAGACATTTAATTCTGCTTGCTGAGAAGACTGTTTGAATGCGTTACAGCAACTCCTGTGGTAGGACTGGGACAGCAGGTCTGGGTTGACTTTTCCTACCAGGATGAACTGGCAGCACCAGGGGGGCTGTCTTGCCCTGCCCTGTGAATTATTTGCTCCTGTGAATTATTTGAATTCTTCTGATTGTTGCAAATAGGTTTTTGTCCCTTCCTGGGGGACTTTTGAGCTTTGTGGGCCAGGTTCCTTAGTCAGTGCCCTGGGAGTCCAGTGAGAAACAGCAGGAGATGGGGCCAGAGACAGGACTGGGGACCAGGCCACATTGGTCCACAGACCGTCAGACAGGACTGGAGACCAGCAAGGCTATCTACCCCGTAAGTCTCAAGTCCATCCAGCTTACCGACAAGACCGGTCAGTAAGCGAGGACAGCAGGGAACAGAGCAAGGCACAGGCAAACCTACAACATAGCTCGGACAAGGTCTCGGTGCTCAGGCTGGAGCTGCGCTCCTGGGCCACGGGCAGAGGGTGTTGGTGGGGGTCCTGGACAAGGCTGGTCAGGGCCATTGAAAAGGTCTGTTCATGCATGCAGAGCCCTGACAATCCTGCTCTTCCAGAGGGCAATTCAGATCAGAAGATTATCTTAGGTATTGTGAATTGTCTTCTTCCATGACGAACTACCAGTGAAGCCTACAGGTCTCAGGTCCAATAGTCTCAGGTCCTGCAGCACCTGAAGGCAGAAGCCCAAAGCTGGCTACCTGAATACACCTGTCAGTGCCACACCTAGGCTACAAACATGCAGCAGAGAAATCCCCTTGCATAGACGAGCACTGTATTCTCTTACATGGCATAGCCTCCTATAACCAAGGATCCTCTTGTATAATGTACACAGAGGGAGTAGGCAGAAGGTGTAAGCTGGCAGACTGGTGTAACCTGGGACAGTTTGGCTGTACTGAAGTAAGAACCCAGGTAAATGTGATACAGAATCAAGAGATCTTGGATGGTTCCTTGATGCTGAATTTATTCTGCCATTTATAGAGACATGTCTGATACTGGTGACATCTATGAGTTGTTGCAATGAAAGATCCTATGGAGTTTAGTGAAAAGAACAAAGGTTAGCACGGTCTTCTAGACGACTTGCATGCTGGGTTACTACAGCCTGTTTCATTCATAAGTGTTCTGGTGAGTTAAAAGTTTGCAGCATTGTTCATTTCTTTCTCCCCAACTTTTCTGCACTGGAGGTTGTACTGTAGCTTCCTTTCACCATGCTTCAGTGACGTCTGCTTGTGTTATCTGCTGGTGAAGTTCCCATATTTTGTACAGCAGCATAGATCAAAGATGAGAAACATCCAGGGAATGTTTAATGAAATGCATTACCTAAGAATCAGTTGTTGTCTTTTCAATACTAACCTCATTTTTACAAAATAAAGGCCATTTCCTGAAAAGCTCCATTAAACTATTTTTTCCCTTTGTTGCTATGCCAAAATTACAAAACTTCCAGTTTTGCAAACCCTATTTTACAGCTCTTGTTCCTGATCTGCTCAGACCCATGACCTCCACTATCAGCACCTCCTCTGCAGTGCTGCTCCCCAAGGCTCTCACACTGTAGGTACAGGCATTGCTGCCTTGAAGACAGGAAGGTCTATTCCGCCTTTGGTCAGAGAGAACTGTTGTGCACAGAAAAATCCGTGGAAAAGTGTGAAGAGTGAGTGATATTAGAGCATACTTGTAGCATCAGAGAGACCATGTCATTGTGTCGAAGTACATAAGCACTTGTTTTATGTTTCCCCATGGAACGAGTCAATTCAGATACACAGGTAATTTCAGCCTTCCCTTTTTAAACAAGATTATTTCCTTCACATCTTCCTTTATGATGTTAACAGTCTGTGGGGAAAAACAAGAGTCCAAGAAATTGCTCACATTTCCCTGGGGAATTCAAAATTAGAGCTCAATGGAAAGAGAAGTGGAAAACTAATCATCACCTGTAACTTCAGACCTTTTTCTAGAATCATAGAATCATAGAATGGTTTGGATTGGAAGGGACCTTAAAGATCATCTAGTTCCAATTCCCCTGCCATGGTCAGGGACACCTTCCACTAGACCAGGTTGCTCAAAGCCCCATCCAACCTGGCCTTGAACACTTCCGGGGCGGGGCATCCACAACTTCTCTGGGCAACCTGTTCCAGTGCCCAGACTTCACCCTCATAGTGAAGAATTTCTTCCTTATATCTAATCTAAATCTACCCTCTTCCAGTTTAAAGCCATTACCCCTTGTCCTATCACTACATGTCCTTGTAAAAAGTCCCTCTCCAGCTTTCTTGTAGGCCCCCTTCAGGTACTGGAAGTCTTCTATAAGGTCTCCCCGAAGCCTTCTCTTCTCAGGCTGAACAACCGCAACTCTCTCAGCCTGTCT